TATTAAAATATCCAGAATAAAAAAAATTCTTTATTCATCTTTGATATCACCAGGTAGGAGCTAGGCCAGGATCCTGGGGCTCCCATTTCCTAGGTGCCCTCCAGGACAGAGCAAGAGATCGTGGCCCATCAACTGATGGCAACGGCCATTAAGAAAAGACCCTGGAGGGGTCTTTCCTCTGCAAATCCATCTCAAAGCTCTCTGGGTACTCGCTTGAGAATATCTTCGAATCTAGCTGAGTGCAAGATGAGGAGCGTTTGAGCAAGTTAGGTGGCGATGAGTATCCGTGGTGATGGTGGTGGTGGTGGTGGTGGTGGTGCTGGCAGTGGTGGTACTGGGGTGGCAAATAGTAGGGGGAGGCAAGTGAAGTGGGGGCCTGCTCAGTGGGGTGGGGGTGGGTAGAGTCCACTCCCGTGGCAATGCTGGGGGAGGGCAGAGTGATGTGCAGGGGTCTCCGAGGCCGGGCCCTGTGATGGGAATCCAGAGAAGAGGAATCAGCTCTCCACCTGCGGATGGTTTTCTTTTTGTGAGGTGGTGGGGGCCTGGCATTGTTGGGCTCCTCCCACTCATTTGTGGGGAAGAGGGGATAGCCGTTGTGGCACCGGGCCCTGCAGAGTTTGTCCACAGCCTGGTTAACTACATCCTGCAGGGCGGGGAAGAGCTGGTGCTCCACCAAGAAGTCCAGGGTGTGATGAGGCTCGCGGAGGGAACAGTAGCCGTGCAGATCAAGGGGCATCGGCTGATTCAGCAAGGACCTGATCTCCTTGTCGATCTCTCTGAGGATGGGGTTCCGCCCTCCAGACCCTAGCCCTGTTGCATCCAGGGTACCCTGCCTGGAGCGGTTCAGGCCTGTGAACCAGGACAGGGGCCTCTCCGAGCTCCACTGGCTACTGGTCTGGCTGCACAGAGAGTTCCAGAGTAGGAACTCCCCCCAGGAGCTGGACAGGCCCCGTCTTTTCTGCAGAAAGAGGGGAGTACTCTCAGAAGCCTGGCCCTGGGTGCTGGGTTGGGATTCATCCCACTCCCCTCCTGGGTGGGGCCCCACATCTCACCCCTTTGTTTTCCAGCCGCTGCAGCCTTTTGAGGTTTCGTTCCAGCAAGAGACTATCCTTTATGGGGGGCAGTGGGCCTAAGTTGTAGGCACTCCGGCTGCTCTCCCAGTAGTAGGTGCCCATGCGGTCAGCTTTGGAGCTGTTGTGGGAGCCGGAGGCGGAGCTGGAGCAGGATGGGTAGTTGTTGGGGCGCCCCGTGCAGAGGCTGGGCTGGCCTCGGTGCTGATGCGCCATGCTCTTCCTGGGCCGGGCCCGTGAGTGCCTTCTGCTGTGTGGCTCCTCCTCGGGGTCCTGCACTTCCACCAGGGGCACTCCGGCTTCTGTCTTCAGTGAGGCCATGCGGTCAGTGGCTTTCTCCACCACTGTCTGCAGGCTGTCCAGCACCTGACCCTCCACAAGGAAATCCAGGAAGCTACCAAAAGACTGAGGGTCTTTCCGGCTTGAGTTGTGACTGTGGAACCGTGGGCTGCCCATGGGGTCACAGGTTGACGGGGGATGAGGCACGTAGTCTAAGTTGTAGGCTTGCCCAGTCTCTTGGGACAGTGCTTTCTTCGATGGTCGCACCTGAGCAGACAGGCATAACACAGTGGAGAGGGATGTCTCCACCGAGGGAGGGGGGCTCTAGGATTCTCTTAGGCAGCCAGGCGCTAAGTCAGATTGGGAGCTGGGATAAACCGTTTTGGACTCACACAGGCACAGAGGGAGGTTTGGACCCTAGCTCTGTCACCTCCAGGTTCTGCAGCTGTGAACACAATGGTCCCCCGTTTTGAGGTCCAATTTCCTTTTATATATTTGCTTAGGATCACCATGAACATTTTCCTGACACTACATTTCTTATACCTAACACTGGCCTGGGGCAGATGCTTTTGCTATCATACAGGCTGTGAATGGGCAATCACTAAATGAAATTTTGGGGCCAGAGAGAAAGTATGGGGGTTAAGGCATTTGCCTTGCTCCATGGTTGGTCCCCTGAACACAACCAAGAATGACTCCCTGAGACAGGAGTAGCCCCTGAGCACCAAAGGATGTAGCTCAAACTGACCCACAAATAAATAAGCCTAATGGGGCCAGAATGATAGCACAACAGGTAGGGCACTTGTCTTGCATATGGCTGACCCAGATTTGATCCCCGGCATCCCACATGGTTCCCCAAGCACTGCCAAGAGTAATTCTTGAGTGCAGAGCCAGGAGCAGCCCTTGAGTACCATCGGGTGTGACCCCAAAATAAGCCAAAAATAAAAAAAAATAAGCCTGAATCTCACTCAGTTTCCTCATTTGTCTTTAGAGCAGCCCAGACCACGTCCACATCTTGGCCCCAGAGACAACTTTGATTCTGATCCCTCTGCCCCCTGGGCTGCCACTGCAACCGGAATGCCTGAGCCCTCAGTAGACTCCAGGCTCCCCTCCTAGTGACCAAGAGCACCTAGTTCCTCTGCCACTGGAGGAAAAAGAGTATAAGGAATAAAGTTATGACTAATAGGTCATGGCACTCAGGATCTCAAAGGTTTAGAGAGGCAGCAAATAGGAAATTTTAAAAATGGAGGTGGGATTGGGGGTGTTGGAGGTATGGAAGATGGTGGTGGATGGGTTGAGTTTCAGGATGGGGTTGGAGCGATAGTATAGCAGGTGGGGTGCTTGCCTTGTACTTGCTCAACCCGGGTTCCACCCCATATGGTCCCTGGGCATCGCAGGGTGACGAGAGGCGGGAGGCGGGGAGGGGGGCTGTCTCAGGGCCCTGCCGGACTCTTACCCGAGCCATGTACATGGTGTGGCTGGCCTCATCGTCTCCTAAATATCCTGATCGGCGGCGGCAGCTGGTCATGATGCGGGGGCCTTGGTCTGCAGCTGACTCTTCACTCTTCCGTTCTGCACAAAAACTTTTGGGCAACAAGAGGGTGTGAGGTTGCCGCCAGGCCTCCATGGATCCAACTCGTCTTTCCCTCCAACCGTTCTCCCCGGTACCCCCTACACCCTTTATGGGTCCTAAGGCACCTCTGTGCAGAGACCTCGCCCTTTTCCCCAGAGGTTAGGCTCCCTACGGATAGAAGCATGCAGTTTCCGACCCATTCTGGACTCCTCCCAGGTCCTGATTGCCCAGCCAGCCTCTGTCGCCGGCCGATACCCGACCAGCTCACCACTTTTGCTCGAGCTCAGCGCCGCGCCAGCATCTGCGCAGGCTGAAGCGCGGACTAAACAGGACTGCAGTCTCTCAGCCTGAGCCCCGCTTTGCAATTTGCATCCAATGTCCTGATTGGCTCTAGGTGGGGCCCGCACAATCGCTGGGTGGGGCTACACTGCTCATTGTCCCGCCCACCCGGTTGTGCCCCGCCCACGTGCAGCGAGAGCCCAGTCAGAGAGATGCAGCTCTAGTGAGGGGTCAGCTCTAGGCTGGAGAGTTTCCCAATACAAGATCAGAATCTAAGGGGCAAAACCACGGACTTCCCTGATGATACAAGCTCCTACCTCGGCTTTTCTCTGGTCCCCATGCTTTCCTGGGTCTCCTGCTCTTAAATTTGCAAAAAGGTACATGGCTAATAAACACTTAAAGTATACAGTCACTGCTATCAGTCAGTTAATCACGGGATGGGGAGATACTCAAAAGTGCCAGAATGCATGCCTGGCACTCATGAGCCCTCAGGTTCCATTCTGAGCACATGGCCTCTCTAGAATGGCTGGTGAGATACTGATACCCCGTAATAAAGAAAGAGACAAGAATGAGACATTTATGTAATAAACATAATTATCTTCTCTGGGGCTGGAATGGGCTAGAGCAATAGCACAGCGGTATGGCGTTTGCCTTGCACGCAGCCAACATGGCCGACCCGAGTTCGATTCCTCCGCCCCTCTCGGAGAGCCCGGCAAGCTACCAGAGGATCTCGCCCCCACGGCAGAGCCTGGCAAGCCACCCGTGATATATTCGATATGCCAAACACAGTAACAACAAAGTCTCCAATGGAGATGTTACTGGGTCCGCTCAAGCAAATCGATGAACAATGGGAGGACCGTGACCGTGATCGGGGCTGGAATAATAGTCAGGGGTGTGAGGACTTGCCTTGAGGGTGGCCAACCCAGTTTCGACCCTCAGCATCCCATAAGGTTCCTTCCCCAAGCTCCTCCAGTAGTGTTCCTAAGAAAGGAGTAAACCCTGAGCACTGCCACGTGTGGGCCCCAAAAAGCCAAACACACACACACACACACACACACACACACACACACACACACAATTATCTTCTCAAAATAACACAAAATACTTGGGGGTGCTGGCTGGAGAGAGTACAGAGGCTTAAGGCACTTTCTTTGTACACGGTCTATGGCTGTCACTGCATATGGTCCTGAGCCCCGATAGGAGTGATCCCTGAGCACAAGAGTAACTTTGAGTACCGTCAAAAAACAACAAACATAAACTCTGGGCTGAAGAGAAATCTGAGTGTGGAAGGATGCTACCCAGAAAGTTAACTGTGGAGATCTCTGGGGACTACATGGGGAGTTTCCTAAAACTTTTAATTTTCATATATAAAATATAATTTTTAAAATTTTTTTTTTCTTTTTGGGTCACACTCAGCGATGCACAGGGGCTACTACTGGCTCTGCACTTAGAAGTTACTCCTGGCGGTGCTCAGGGAACCGGGAATTGAACCTGGGTCGGCAGCGTGCAAGGCAAACGCCCTACCCGCTGTGCTTTCGCTCAAGCCCCTAAAATATAATTTCTGCCGTTAAAGTGCTGCTTTGCAGTAAGTCAAGCCTTGGCCTGTGTGCGCAGAGGTGGTAACGGCGAGGTCGCTGCAGAGCCACGCCGGGACCCACAGGCAGCGGGAACAAAGGAGAATTTCCTGCCGCCCGGCCCGTGCGTCGGGGCGGGCCCGGGGGCTGCGTCGGGGGCGGGCCCGAGGGTGCGTCAGGGGGCGGGGCCTGGCCCAGCCCAGTACCTTCGGGTCGGGCGCGGCGGACTAGGCATCGCTCATGGCCCAGCCGCGTTTGAGACTGGTGGTCACCGCGGACGACTTTGGTTACTGCCCGCGGCGCGATGAGGGCATCGTAGAGGCCTTCCTGGCGGGGGCTGTGACCAGCGTGTCTCTACTGGTCAACGGCACGGCCGCGGAGAGCGCCGCCGAGCTGGCCCGAAGGTGAGGGCGGCCCCCTTCTAGAGTCCGGGCAGGGTCGGGCGCCCGCGAGGCCCACGGTCACTCGCGCTCGCGCTCCGCCCGCAGGCACCACATCCCCACGGGCCTCCACGCCAACCTGTCCGAGGGCCGCCCCGTGGGCCCCGCTCGCCCCGGCGCCTCGTCGCTGCTCGGCCCCGAAGGCTTCTTCCTCGGCAAGATGGGATTCCGGGAGGCGGTGGCGGCCGGTGACGTGTCCTTACCCCAGGTGCGGAGGTGCGGCCGCCGCTGGAGGATGCTCGCGGTCACCCCCGCCTGGCCCCGCCCACCCCGAGGGTCCCGCGGAGCCGCGCCGGGCGGGAGCGGGGCCTCGGGCTGCGTCCCCGAGGCAGCCGGGGAAAGTCTCCCTGCTCTCTCCTGCTCTGCTTCCAGGTTCGGGAAGAGCTGGAGGCGCAGCTGAACCGCTTCCGCTTATTACTGGGCACGGAGCCCACTCACGTGGATGGGCACCAGCACGTGCACGTTCTCCCGGGTGCGTGGGGGTGGGGGCAGGGCGCTTTGCTCCCTCCAGGCAGGGGCGGGGTCCCGGGGGCGGGCGGGCTGCCCGCTCCTGACCTTGCCCCGCCCCTCCGCCGCAGGTATTTGTCAGGTGTTCGCCGAGGCGCTGCAGGCACACGGGGTGCAGTTCACCCGGATGCCCCTGGAGCGCGGGGTGGGCAGCTGCCCGTGGCTTGAGGCCCCAGCGCGCGCCTTCGCCTGCGCCGTTGAGCGCGACGCCGAGGCTGCCGTGGGTCCTTTCTCCTGCCACGGCCTCAGGTGAGGCTCTTTCATTCCCTGCCTGGGCCGGGCCCTAGTGGGTTTGGCTAGCCACTCACCTGGATGGCTGTGTGCATTTCTCAACCTCAGAGTCGTGGGGGCGTGGGGGGTGAGGGGCACGACATTGCCCAGCATCCCTCTCGCTCCAGATCCACCAATTCCTGATCGCTTTTCGCCACCCTCCCCACTTCATGCTTATGCCAGTCCCTGCCACTGAGGTCTTGGCATCCACAGGTGGCCTGATGTCTTCGTGGGCCTGAGCACGTGCGGCCGACACATGTCTGCCCACCGCGTATCAGGGGCGTTAGCGCGGGCCCTGGAAGGCTTGCCTGAGGACCACGCCCTGACGGCTGAGCTAATGGCACACCCCGGCTACCCCAGTGTGCCCCCTGCAGGGGGCTGTGGGGAGGGCCCTGATGCCTTCTCCTGCTCCTGGGAACGGCTCCACGAGCTGCATGTCCTCACTGCACCCACACTGCGAGCACGGTTTGCCCAGGATGGTGTGCGGCTCTGTGCTCTCAAAGACTTGCAAGCTAAAGAACTACCCTCGTGAAGCCACTCTGGACACCTTCCCGGAACCTTCCCCAACTGAGGGATAACCAGCCCAGCAAAACTTAGAGCTCTGGAAGGGGCCCAGGGTGGAGGCCAGAAGCAGGGCCAGGAGCAAATTCTGTGACTTCCTGGCAGGTGGTTACACCCCAATGCCTAGGCCCTCAGTGTGCAAAGCTTCACTGATTCCTGTGGCTGCTGGCAGGCCTGTGCTGCACAGTTATGGGGCTCCCAAGGGTTCGCTGCCTGACCATGCCCTGGCAGTGTCTGGTTTAGGCATACTGGGAAGAGATCACTGTATTAATAAAATAGCGTGCCTCAAATTTATGTGGTTATATACTATGCCCAGAAAACCTTCAGACAAAAGGACAAAATCAGCTCTTTGGGGGGAGGGGTGTGTACCCCTACTCCAGAAAAGATACACGTAATGGGCTCTATGTGGTAGTGCATGTGCTTCTGTTGTTGTTTTGGAGTAGTGTTGTGGGGAATGTCTTTACCAGAGTACTTTCCAGGGGAATATAATCTAAATTTTGATTTTAAAAGATGTCACCTTTTGTGGGGCTGGAGAGAGAGTACCACGGACAGGGCACTTGCCTTGCACATGGCCAACTGAGGTTCTATTCCCAGCACCTCACATGGTTCCCTGAGTCCCAAGGAATGTTTCCTGACCAGAGCCAGGAATAGAGTAAGCCTTGAGAGCTGCTGTGTGCAGCTCCTAAACTAAGGAAAAAGATGAAAAAAAAAATTGTCATCCTTTGTTTTCTGTTTGCCATACCCAGAGGTGCTCAGGGCTTATTCTACACCTGGCTCTGTGCTCAGGGATCATTCCTTGTGGGACTCAGGGCACCACATGTAATGCTGGTATTGAACCTGGACCACTGCAAGTCAGGCACCCTACTGGCTGTACTATCTGTACTATCTCAGTGCCTAAAAAAAGCAACGTTCTGCCAACTTAGGTGACAGGTCCAAGGAATTCCTGCTCTTCACACATAGAGGAATACATTTAAATTCTCCCACGAGGAGTCTTCTGTGAAAATGGAATCCCAATTCCTAATTGGCCCTGGTGATATGTGGGTCTGTGTAGTTTGGGCCAGAGATGCAGGGAGCAGATGGGGAACAGAGGGAGCTCTTAGGAGCAGTTCCATGCAGCATTAGAGCCTGCACTTCCAGATGAAACACCACATGGTCCCTTTCACTTTTGTGTCAATGTGGTACTAGAGTTGAGACCCAGGGCTGCACTTGCAAAGCATGCCCTTTCCCACTGAGCTCATTCTGGCTCACATGCTGCCCTCTCATGTCATCTCAGTCATCTTTCATGTTTGCATCCGTGTGTGCTTGCTAGTCTTCAGCCCCTCCTGTTCTCCCTCTGGCCATGTGCAGCTTGTTTTGATTTGGAGGTGGAGAGTTTGGGCCACATCCAGCAGTGCTCAGAGTTCACTTTTGGCAGTACTTGGGGGACTCTGAAAGGTTCTCAGGATGGAACCCAGGTTGGCCGTGAGCAAGGTGAATGCCTTAGCTCCTGTACTCTCTGGGCGTTTGTGCATCTTTTTGACGTAGGACTTTGCATTGCTTCCTGCTTCCAGTTCCCCGCCATGTAGCTTCAGCCCCCTTTTTTAGCTCTATATTCCACTGAACCTTTCCTTTGACCTTGACTTTCAGCCACAGAGCTTACCCTACCCCCACCCCAACCCTGCACCACCAGCTGGAAGCTGGAAACACTTGAGCTTGGTCCCTCCAGTTGCCTTGTCCTCACTGGCATCTAACTCCTGCCAGCTAGTGGCCAGAGTTGTCAAGGATGGCCCCAAAGCACCCCCACCAAGGAGGGTTCTGTTTTTTTGAGGGGGGGGGCATGGCACAACCAGCAGTGCTAAGGGAATACTCCTGGCGGATTTCCAGGGGACTATATGGAGTGTTGGAGATTAAATGTGGGTTGTCTACATGCAAAACAGGTGCCCTACCCACTGTACTTTTGCTCAGGCCCCAGGTTCTGTTTTTAAGGCAGCAGCTGCTGTGTGACTTGGAGGGTCAGGAGAGATGGGTGAGTAGCAGGAAACTCTAGGAGCTGCAGATGGCAGAGAAAGCAGTGGCAGCTGCCATCACCGGGGAGGGATAAGCAGAGGTGAGAGCTCAGACCAGGACCACGAGCAATTGGGATAGGACAGGACAACTGGAAGAGTCAAGTGCAGGGGCGAGGCAAAGAAGGCAGAGAGGGCCACAGGTAGTGCAGGCTCTACTGTGTGGTGGTCACCGCCCTACCGAAACGAGGGTGTTTAGACACATGTGCTGTGTCTGAGGAGGGCGAGGTAAGGGCTTTACTGTTACCCCTCACAGCGATATGACCTGGGCTGCGACAGGAGGAAGACACAATGGCAAAGTGTAGGGCCAAAGGGTATTCCTCATCCAGGAGGGTCAGAAGATGCTGGCTAAAGTGGCCTCCCTCCCTGGGCCTCTGCAATGCTGCAGAGTCCTTTTCACTCCCCTAGGGACCGGGGGAGTCTCATCAACTAGAAAACAAATCATTTATGAGATCAGGCACTGCTGAGAAGCTGAAGTCCCAGCTTCATCTGCTGCTTGGGAGCCTGAGTAGACAGGGCAGGAAGGAGAAGACCAGCTCTGGCAAACCCAGAGCCTTGGCCTGCAAGAACGGTGCTGCCTAAAAGGGGACGTGGGATGGGCAGTGCTGAGAAACTGCCAGATTAAGGCCCTTGTCAGAGGGTGACAAAGGCAGCAGTTACAAAGTAGACACAAATTTCAAACAAATTAAGAGAATGAAGAATCCAGAAACTTGTGACTGCATTAAAGAGACTGAGAGTCTAGCTCATCTCTCTGGCCTTGGGGTGAAGGGAACTCGAATGTGTCTAGGCCCCAAGGGACCCTTGACAGGGCAAATGTAACTGGATCTGGAGCCAGACTGTAAGAGGGCCCTTGACCAAGCACTGGCTGTTTTCGTGGAGAGTCAGGATAGTGAAAGGCTGGGATCTGGCAATTTCCCCTGCTGCTCAAAGGACCAATCTCTTCTGGGAATAACATACCCCAGGAAGGTTTCCCTGAGGCCGGTACAGCTACATCCAACTGAAATGTGTTCTGGGGGCCATACCTGGCAGTGCCCAGAGGATACTTCCGGTGCTGTTTGGGGACTGCTCCCGGCAGCATTCAGGGGACCATGCAATGGCAAAAATCAAACCTGAGCCCCCCCCACGCAAAGCCCACACTCAACTTGGGTGCTCTCCAGCTTTAAAAATGTTCTGATGCTCGTATGAGTGCCTTGAGTCCTGTCAGTGCTCCTGGGCAACACCTTGGACAACATTAAACCAGAAACTTGAAGGTGAAGTTCTGGCTGAAACCATCAAGGAAATGGCCTGGTCCACTTTCAGGCACACCCTCATGACCCCATCAAGCCGCCACCATCCTGGAATTCCTGCTTACTAACGTGCATGCCTTTTGTTGCCAGGGAGACTAAGGTGATGTGTCTGCGCCTAGAAGCCACCGTTCCCTCCCCAGACACCAGGATGCCTGCAGCCTCCAGTGATCTGGGCACTGCAGCCTTTCCTGCCACCCCTGGGAAAGGCCAGAGCACTTGAGCGAAGCTCCGGTGGGAGACTGGACCTGGGGATAAAGGAGTAGGCAGATGCTGCCCAATTCCTGAGTCCTGGAACCTGGGCCCCCAAAGAAACCCACACGGCCAAACCAGTGTCTGAGAGCATTTTTATTAAGGTCAGCAGACCAGGGTCGCAGCATCTTAGGAAGCCTATTCTCCGCCGTTGGGGAGGGCAGGAAGGAGGGCAGGACCCGGTGCACTTCATTTGGAGGAACCTGACAGGGTGAATTCCTGAGTGGGCTCGGGTCATCAGTGGCTGCTCGCCCCTTCTCCAGAGAATCCACCTGTTTGGTTGTGGAACAGTCAGAGCTGTCAGCCACTTTGACCTCCGATCTGCCCAGGGGGCTCAGCCAGGCTCAAGAACTGGCTGGCTGAAGCAAGCTGCCCAAGCCCAAGGGAGGGACCACCCGCTGCCTCGATCTCTTGAGGGCCAAGGCTCTGCTGAGAGTCCCTGAGGGGGGCCGCCGGCTTTGGCAAAGGAATCCTCCCATGGTGAGCAGAGAAGGAAGGGGGATGACAGGCGGGCAGAGCTACACTGGTCAAAATACGAAGCAATGGGATAGTTCTGAGAATGGCCAGAGTTCTGAATTCAGAAGAAGCATGAGAACAAATGGTGGCTAACTTTTGATAGCTTCTGACAGAATTTGGCATTTTTTAAAAAAATCACAAATCTGTGTTAAGTGAAATACAGTTCAACATGACCTTTATGCTAGTGAAGAGGAATATGTGAAACAGCTGGCCCAGCGCTCTTGCCATTTTGGGTACACAGAGTCTCCAGAGCCTGCCCCTTGTATACCTTAAGACTAAAGCTGGGTTCACGGACATATCTCAGGCGCCGGGCATCTGGGCAACTACACGTCTGCTCTACCAATCCCACCCCGTTCTGTGCAGGTTAACGCCAAGCTTTTACATACAGGTCGGTAAGCCTTGGAAAGATCTCGAGAACCAAAATGAAGATAGAAAGTAAAGTTTAAGTCATCTTCTCCACAGGATCGAGTCCCCCTCTCAGCCAAGAAGGGAAGGCGCCAGGAACAGAAGTGGAGTTGGTGGCACACAGCATCTGGACCATCCGCTTCCTCTGGGTGTCAGTGACATGCTCTTTCAGGGACAGTCCCGTTTGCTTTGAAAAGACATCAACATTCAAATCCTTACAAGTTCATCTGATGATAAATTCTAAGGTCAATTTTTATTTCTACAAAAAAAGGCAGTCAAAACAATATAAAACACATGTAAAGGATATTACTGAGCTTCAAATGGAGATTGACTCCAAAAGGCTGTGAGTCCAGAGGGAGGGTCTTGTTCCTGGCCTGGGTGCTTCGAAGGAAAGGGCCAGCAGGGTGCCGGTGACCGCAGGTCGGTGCTGGCTATGGCCGAGTCCTGCCAATTCCGACCCCGCAAAGGGTCAAAGTGTGCCGAGGGAGGAAAGGCTGGCCACTGTGGGGCTGCTGCACGGAGGAGCTGGCGCAAGCTCCCTGGCACATTCGGGCGGAGCTCGGTGACAAATAAACGTGGAAATTCAAATGGACATTCTGGCTTCAGCGTTGTCTGCAGCCCTCAGCGTATCTTCTACTTGGCTGCGAGAGGCATGCCCTTCTGTTGAGAAATTCCTCGTAGAGTGCAGTCAGTGTCCTCCGGCTGGCAGACCCTCCCAGGGGTCACCACGAACCTGATTTCCCCAGCAGGCAGGGCCAGGTTGGGGTTCAATCACACACAGAGACATTGGGTTTGCCCATTTAATCAATGTTACTGTGGTAACAATTTGCCAGATTTTTACAGAAAAGTTGGGCCTCCCTTTTAATAGCATGGGGAGGGGGTGCATAGTGGAGGGAAAATAAGTTGGTTAGATTGTTTAAAAAAAAAAAAAGATGTTATAAACTGGAGTCAGGAGAATTTGAACCAACTTCCACACACCAGGCAGTGTGACCGACACAGGAAGAGAGATGGCACCAGAAATGCCAGCACTGTCTCTTCTTGTGTAGGAGACCAGGCCTGGATCTGGGGAAGTGAATGAGTAAAAAATAAACTGAATGAGGCAGGGGCAAAGGGGAACCACAACCTTTTTAAACTTTTTTTCTTTAAACTTTTAAGGACTAAATGTAAATTGAAGATTTGGGATAAATTTGGAAAAGAAGAGAAACACCATTCTTTTAAAGTAGATTGAAGCAGTGATTTTTAAAACAAAGAAAGCAGAACTAGAACATCTTAGAATTTTAATCCTTTCTTTACAGGTTACCTAGACCACTTTTGATTAAGAAAACTGTAGAAAGTTAGTAACTGCCACAAGCGAACGCCAGGCGGTGGCACATGTCAATTTTCCACAGAGTCCTGCTTTGCGGGTGTTTGAATGCACTGCTCGGGGCCTCTGCTCACACTTGCTGGAATCAATCATGACAGATTTAGTCCACGGGTCGCTTTTCCCCATATTTCTTTGTAAACTCTTCAGCATTCTTACAGAATTTTTTACGGTCCTTAGAGTATTCTTCAGCTAGGTCAGCCCGAAGTGGGTGCTCAGGCTGGGGGTCGTTCACCAGTGCAATGAGGGACTGGATTACTGTCAAGAAAAGGACAAGGCATCACTGGTGAGACTGATCTTAAAGGATGCAGGAAAACAATGCAATTCTCAGTTTAACACTGATTCATAGTGGTATGTTTGAAAGCAGTCTGCACTTACCCAAAATTCTGCCCACCAGCCCATCTTCCCTCCATGAGGAATTAGACAGTGATGTTCTACACTGATAATGGTTCAGAGTGACCCCTCATCCTCAGGAAGCTTTTCTGTTTTTGTCTGTTTGGGTGTTTGGGCTATACCCAGCAGTGCTCAGGGGCTATTCCTGGCTCTGTACACAATAAGTGACCCCTGGAGGAGCCAGGGATCAACTGGGGTCAGCTCTGCAAACAGGGCAAGTACCTTACTTCCAGTATAATCTTTTTTGGTTTTCTTTTATTTTTTTTTGGCCGTACCTGGCACTATTCAGGGCTTACTCCTAGGCTCTGTGCTTTTGGCAGTGCTCTGGAACCACATGAGGTATTGGAGATCAAACTTGTGCCAACCATATTCGAGGCAAACACCCGACCCACTAAAAGCATGTTTTTTTTTTCTTGGCAGGGCAGAGGTGGGGGAAGAGGTAGGAGAGTTTAGGTCACATCTGGCAGTGCTCAATCTTACTACTGGAGAGGCTTGAGGGAACAGAGGAGGTGCCACAATCAAACATGGGTCAGCCAGGTGCAAGGTAAGGAGCTTATCTTTTATACTATCTCGCCAGCTCCTCCGCTCCTGTACTGGCTCTGGTCTCCAGGAAGCCCTTCTGAACTGAAATGTCTTAGCCCCTAGCCATTTCTGGATACACACCACTCTCTAAAGAATCAAAACACACAGACACACTCAGTTTAGGGTAGTTTCAACAGAAAATACAAGCATGAAAGTATATTAGCAGGTCTGTACCCTGAAGACAAGCTTTTGAACTTGCCAAGAAGAGGCTTGTTTTAAGCACCCTACCTAGTCATTGCGGGGTAAGCCTCAACTGCACCACACTGACAACTCCAGAGGCAAACACACTGAAGGGTTTTTTTTTTTTGGGGGGGGGGTCTCTACAATGCTCTCCCAAAGCACAGTAGTCCCTAAGACAAGAAATACCACGGAGGAAATACGGAAGATCAACACCTCACACCTCAACACTTCCCCCATTATGACCAGCAGCCCCCAACATCAGCTCCCATCACCTTGCTCCTACTAAAATGCTCTCTCCTCTGGATCACCAATAATACGGATTCTTTGCCTGGGGCATGCATTTTACCTCAGGATTACTATAAGCAGAGAAAAGCATGATTGCTTTTAAGTCATGCACAAAGGAAAAGTCACTACAGTAAATGCAGAGATAGCCAAAGAGCATATCCAGAGAGCACCTATCACTGCTACTACGTGGGATGGAATTCTGTGGCCGCAGCTGGCATGGGTGACGCAGGGGGCAAAAGTCTGGCGGATAGCACAAGAAGGGTAGAGAGGTCGAGGCCGAGTTCCTAAGTTCTGAGGATGACAGGAAAAGCAGGGTTGGTGGAAGGCCAGACCTGATCATCTCCCTCCCTGCACTGTCCTCCCTGCCACTGTCTCAAAAGAAGCAGGTCAAAAATCAGTGACACCTACACACGTTTTTCTGTATTTCAAGACTCAGCCCTTCTATATATATTCTATTCTCACTTAGTGGAGCAGAGACAAAGATAAAGTTATTCCATCCCTATTTTTCCAATCTCAAATGTTGGCACTCCACTGTGACATATTTCCATTATGTCTTAAATGATTACTGGTTTAATAGGTTTTTAACCTGTTTTTTGGGGCAGCTTGGGGACATTATTTATTTATACACTGTTCATGATATTATTTATATATTTATATATATACTGCTCACTTATTTATTTTTTTGCTTTTGGCTCTGCACTCAGGAATTACCCCTGGTGGTGCTCAGGGGACCATATGGGATGCTGGGAATCGAATCTGGGTTGGCAGCGTGCAAGGCAAACACCCTACCTGCTGTCCTATCACTCCAGCCCCAACTTATTTGTATAGGATTTGTTAACTATGAAGATTTTGACAGCTGGGGAAACAATACAAGGATTAAGACATGGTGAATGTGACGACCCCGATTGGAATCCTGCTACCACATGTCTTTGAAAATAGTTACTCAACCCTTTTCCAAGCATAGTCCCCACCTTTCAACCCTATTTCCACCACATGGGATGCTGACATGCCAGCTGGTTCCCTAGTCTTGTGCTGTGAATCCTTTTATGTCATTTTCATCTGTGACACCAACCCCCACCTCCTGAATATCTTAGCGCCCGAGGGGATCACCTGACTCTCAGTGAGAAAGCTGCTCTAAAACCCAGTACTGCTGGCTGTCGGGGAAGTACTGCTGCTCCTCTGCTGAATACCAGCAACAATGTGTCCTAGGGCCTGGATGAGAATCACTGGTAGGGGCCTCCAGATGTCTGAGCAGATCTTGGGAGGCCTCTAACCTCCCTCCAAAAAGAACTTGCTTTACAAAAGATACTAGCTGTGCTCAGAGCACACCTCCAGTTCTGTGCTCAGGATCACAAGTTTGTTATTTATCTGTTTAATTCTTTCTTCTGAATTGATCAAATATACATAAATATCTCAAATAAACACCCCCCCCCCCACAAGCTGGTGGTGCTCAGAGCTTATTTCTGGTCAGTTCAAAGGACCATATTGGGGGGCAGGGGGAAGAGGAGAGGACTGAACCCTGGTTGCCAAGTGCAAGGCAAACACTCTACCAGTGGTACTATTGCTGTGACTCCCTAAAATCTAGTTTTTATTTTATTTTGGTTTTAGGGCCACATCCAGCAGTGCTCAGGGGTAGCTCCTGACTCTGCACTCAGGAATTACTCCTGGCAATGCTTGGGAGACCATATGGGATGCCCAGGATCGAAGCTGGGTCAGCACCCTATCCATTGTTTCACCTGGACCCAACAGCTTGGTGCTGAGGTCCAGCGATGCACTATGCTTGGGGGTCACTAAGGGTTACTACACATAGTGGCGTGTGGGCCCACACGCCCTATCAGTTGAGCTACCTCCCAATTCCTGGCAAAGAAGTTTTTATCACGGAAAACAAGTTCACTTTACAGAAAAAAAAAAAAAAGCCTGGGGCTGGAGAGGCAGTTTAGCCAGTGGGCACCTGACTTACATGCAGTCAACCCAGATTCAATCCTCAAGAGCCCATAAGGGTTCCCAAGTCCTACCAGGAGGGATTCCCTGAATGCAGAACCAGATCAGGGAATAAGCCCTGATCACAGCCAGGTGTGGGAAAAACAAAACAAATCAAAACAAAAACAAAACACCCTCCAAATGGAAAAAAAAAACCCTCTGAGAAGGTTGATCTGAGAGGCGAGCAGGAAGGCAGGCACTGCTGGAGAAAGCAGAACATCTTGGCTCTGAGCCTAGAGCTGGATTTCCCCCACCCCCACCTCCCAGATGCTGGGGATCAATCCAGGCATATACTCTAATTTCTGAGATACATCTAGATTAGAAACTGCTACAGTCAGCTCCTTCAAGTGGTGCCCCCAAATTTACCAAGCCCCAGTGCTCTGACGAGAGCTTGTGACTTGGCGTGGAGCCTGTGTGGGACGCCCACAAGCACTGGCTCTCCTCAGGCAGGTTTTTAATACAAGCTGGCAGGGGCTCGAGGAGTGTGCTCAGGGTTGACGAGGCATTCTTTGATGAATTAAGCTACCAATATCTCACACAGAACTAGGAATTTATTATTATTATTATTATTTTTCCTTTTTGGGTCACACCCGGCGATGCACAGGGGTTACTCCTGGCTCTGCACTCAGGAATTACCCCTGGCGGTGCTCAGGAGACCATAAGGGATGCTGGGAATCGACCCTGGGTCAGCCGCGTGCAAGGTAAACGCCCTACCCGCTGTGCTATCGCTCCAGCCCAAAGTCCCTCAAATTCTACTTTCAAGCACTGCCGGGTGTGGCTCTCAAAAAAAAAAAAAAGAGGGGATACTAAGAAATAAAAGACACAACCCAGTTATTTCCAGGGGACGGTGAAAGGCTAACCACAATACTGAATCAAGTCCTTTTCCCAGAAAACTGAGTGTGTATCATAATATAGTGGTGATCCAGAGACATATATGGGCTTATCTATTCCAGAGAGTTCCAGGCCCACTAAGCTAAGGAAGTGCTTCCACCTCACCATTCTCTATCTTACACTCTAAGCCACTAGCACTGCTGCACATCAAGTGGCTTTGGCTTGGTCCTTTTCTTTTTTCCAGCCTCTTTCAACCTCCCTTTTGGATTCACATGCTGGCTGCAACGTGGAGGGTCGCCTAAAACCTGCTCCCATGCCCCTCTCAAGGTAGCCGGCCCCACAACTCATCAAACTCCAGTGACATGCGCATGTCTTCACTTCAGTCAGCTAACACTGGACTGGTCTTTCTGTGTCTCCCCGCTGGGATGGGAGCACAAAAGCCTCACAATCCCTGGCTATCCCCACAAGGGGTGGTAGCGTTTCAGTAGCACTTCTCTGGACTCTGTGCAACAAGTCTTATGGGATCAGATGCCCTGTCTAAAGCAGCTCATCTATGACACAGAACCAACTCCATCGAATGGAGAGACCCTTTTCAACAAACCACGGTGGGAAAGCTGAACAGCCCCACACAGAACAGCACATCTTACCTTGGTCGGTTTTGGTTGCTGGCTTCCAGTTTTCAGCACTAATTACTGGCAGACAGACCTGCCCCTTTTCATCAATGTTTGGGTGATAGATCTTTGTTTTAAATGTGATCTTCGGTGGTTTGAATGGGTACTCTGCTGGGAAGTTTATTTCGATTCTGAAGGCCCCCTTATCATATGGAGGATTGTCCTGAGGTAAAAGAGAAGAGATTAAAATGAACACAATACAGTTTGCAAACTGTAAATAATACACTTTGTTTTAGAGGACTGTGGCGATGGCAAAAGGCTAGAACACTTGCCTAACAAATGAGACGCCTGCACTGGATGCTGTCACCACACACAAGCAAAGCACAGCACTTTGGGGCTGGGGTAAGTGGCTCTGTGGTAAAGTGCTCTGCATGCCTGAGGACTGGATCATGCACAAGGATCCAGGGTTCGCTCCTAAGCACTGCAAAAATTGAGTAGTTTCAGACTGACAGAAAAACTTGAGGAAAGTACAAACAGTTCCTCACTGTCAATATCAGAGCGATATATCTGACGACCCCAACAGATACCACATTATCACCCAAAATCCATTACTTCACATAGGCTCACACTTGGTGTACATTTTATGGGTTCTGCATAACACATTAGGCTGAAATCATATGTAGCCTTTTCAGATATGCTTCTGTCACTAACAATATGCATTTAACAAGGTTTCTTCTGTCCTTTTGTAACTGAAGAGCGCTCTCTCTCTTTTTCTTTTTGGGTCAAACCCAGTAGTAAGAGGGGTTACTCCTAGACTAGGCTCATTCCTGGTGGTACTTGGGGATCAAACCAGGGTCAACTGCATGCAAGGCAAGTGCCCTACCTACTCTGTACTATCGCTTTGACCCACGAAGAGCTCATTTCTTTATACCACTATCTAGATTCCAAGGTGAGTGACAACCCTCCCATACACTGCAGGAGTGAATGCTGGAACATCTGGGGGTGTCTTTCTGTTAGTCGGCTTAGAGAAGGTAGAGTTCTAGGGACACTGAAAAGGGGGCGTTAGGCCAAAAATAAATATGGGGGCCTCTGGTCTAGATGAATCAGTGCTCAATAATTCATTCAACTACTGAAAAACATCTCCGTAGCTTTAAGTCTGGGCAATTGTAAACAAGGTTGCTTAAATATTATATGCATGGTTTTGTGTAAATAAATTTTCAATTCATAAATACCAAAAAGTACAACTGCGAGGTCAGAGAGTGAGAGAAAGTATGCTTGATCTCTTTTTTTGCAGGGGTGAGGTTTGTAGTAGTGCTACAATCCAGTAGTGCTCACAGGCTGCTCCTAGCTTTGTTTTCAGGGGTCCATGCAGTGCTAGGGATCAAAGCAGAGTCAGCAAGGCAAGTGTTTTAACACCTGTACTGTCTCTCTGGTCCCACTAGTTTCTTCTCCCCCAATTCTGGGTCCCACGCAGCAGTGTTCTGGGGATATGATATGGGGTGCCAGGGATCAAATCTGGGTCAGCTGCATGCAAAGCGAGCGCTTTACCCACTGCACATTTTCTCTGAACTGCAATGTTTCATTTTGCAAGAAGCCACCGAACTGTCTATACCATTTTTTCATTCCCACCAATAATGAGAATTCATCACTGATACATTCTTGCCAGCATCTGGCGTAGTTTTAGGTTTTCACCATTTTAATAGTTATTTATTGGTCTATCGCTGTTATCATCCCCCGCTGGGTTTCTATACAGTAGTCTGGAATCTGGAAACCCCTTGAGTATCTTTAACATGTTTGCTTGCATTTCTGGAGGTGCTTTCTTCTATGGTGCCGGGGACTGAATCCATGCCTCATACGAGGAAGGCATGTGCTTGACTGCTAAACCATTTAACTACATCTCTAGCAGCCCCCTCCGCAAGAGGCCGCTTTTTTTTTTTTTAGTGGAGCAAATAGTTTTATGGAAAGAAATTCAGAGAGATGTGAATGAAGTGAGACAGAGAGAGCTATACAGGTTCATACAAAGTGGGAAGAAAGCTAAAAGTTAGTTTTTTAATTGAGGTAAACAACTGAGCCTTTAAGGCGTCCTGAGCACTACTCGGTATGACCCCCCAAACCAAAACCAACTAAAGAAATGTGGCCATACCAATAATCTGTGCACCTAGTAACCTCTGCCAGGAATGGCACTCTATGTTAGTATACATGCTTATACCACGTGCAAGGCCCAGGGTCAGATCCTCGGCATAGTAATAATCAATAATGTAACAGTAATTGTAGGAAGGCCCACCTGCAAGGAAGTTTTCTGTCTGAGTCTCAAGACCTTTGGAGACTCCAAACTCCCTTTTCAGGGACTGGAAAAACAGACAAAATAACAGTGTCCCAGTGCCTTAGTCACCTCCTGGAGAGAGAGACTGGCCTGCACCCAGGTACATGGCATTCCTGCCACTTAACATGTGTGCACACACAGAGATTTGCATGCTTAGTACTGGTACCACCATCATTCACTTAACAGCTTGTTGCTGACTTGACCCTACCCTCAACATACATGTACCCAGACCTCCAGGATCTCTGTAATGGCTGAAGCATATTCCACTGTCAGGATGTACAATTTCTACATTCAAGGGCCATACCCAGCAATACTCAACCAGTACTTCCTGATGATTCAGGGGGCCATGCAGTGCTGAGATTAAACTCAGAACCTCGGGGGAGAGCGATAGTACAGTGGGAGTGTCTGCCCTGCACATGGTCGACCCCCCAGGTTTGATTTTCCGGCATCCCATATGGTCCTCCAAGCACTGCCAGGAGTAATTCCAGAGTGCAGAGCCAGGAGTAATCCCTGATCATCTTTGGGTGTGATCCAAAAAGCAAATAAACAAACTCAGAACCCCGGACAGGCTAGGTATGTACTATCTACTCCTCTATCATCTGTTTCCCACCACCCTGCTATAGGACAAGAACTGCTTTATAGGTAAACATGATACAAATATTTATTTATTTTGTTACACCCAGCAAAATAATAAGTCACTCCTGGCTCTGCATTCAGAAATTAGTCCTGGCAATGCTTGGAAAACCATATGGGATGCCAGGGATTGAACTAAGATTGGTTGCTTGCAAGGCAAGTGCCTTACCCAATGTACTATGACTCAGGCTGACCCCATCTTCGTTTTGGGGCCATACCCACCTCTGGGGTTACTCCTAGCTCTGTTCTCAGGAATTACTTGGAGGACCATATGTGGTGCTGGGGATGGTACCTGGGTTAGCAGCTTGCAAGCATCTCTCCAACCCCTGACCTCAATTTTTTTTAAATTTAAAAATTAATTTAGGAGCCAGAGAGTGCAGTGCTTGACAAATACCTGTTTTGTGTTATTTCCCCCATGCAGACGACAATTTCACTAAGCCCTGGAGAAAATCCTGATAAATCTAAATCTGTACTGGCCAGTAGTAATCTAGTCACCTTCTGCAAGGGACTGTCATGTCCTTGAAATGAGATGCTTCCAAACTGAGATCTGCTCTATGTGCAAAGATACCACTTGGGGCTGGAGCAAGCTCAAGGGGGTGGGCACATTCCTTGCACACAGGAGGACTGGCTTTCAACCCCCACACTGCACAGGCACAGGACCAGAGGAGTCCCCGTGTGCCACTGGCTACAGTCAAAAACCCAAACCCAAACTCCCAACTTCCAGACTTTATAAAAAAACAAAACAAAACACATACTATACCAATGATTACTTAACTGATTACATGTTGAATAATAACACTGGGTTAATAGTGACAAGTCTAGTAGTAACTAAGCCCCACCAAGCACTTTCTGGTTATAAGCACTGTTATAAAAACCTCAACTCAAACTCCAGACTCAAGACCTCAGTGTCAGCCCTTCTATTCCTGAAAAGACCAGAGTCAAGTGTGTAGGAGGCTTTTTCAGAGGAGAAGACTACTTTGTCTTCCCGTGAGACAAACCCTCTGCTTTGCTTTATGAGGCAGATAGCAACCCCAAACCACAGACAGGTTAGGATCTGCGCAGGCCTCAATCTGATCCTTAAATTTTTAAGAGTTGTGGGTGGCCTGGTGATGAAATATGTCTCTATGACAAGAGTGAGGTTTCACACTTGGTTCCCAGCACCCCATGTGTGCTGAACACAGTCCTGACCAACTCTGCCCTGAGGCCACAGGGATCCTACCAGAGCTGATCTTTGGATGGAACACCATGTGCTCCCACCCCATCCCACTGCCACAAGAGTAGCAAAATAGAGCCCGGACTCAGTATTAACCACTGGGCATCACTGCCTGCTGTGGCACAAGCAATCCCTTGGCTAGAACACAAAGGGTGGGGATGGCCAAACCTGCTGATCCTAGATGAGACGTGAAGGACAGGGGCAGGGGGCTCTTTCCATAGAGGGGGGTCTTTGCTCTTTCATCATAGCACAGTTCTATGATGAAACTGCTTCATATACACACATGTGTATATACCCCCCCCCACTGCCTATTTTCTCTCTCTCTCTCTCTCTCTCTCTCTCTCTCTCTCTCTCTCTCTCTGCCTATTTCCTGACAAGGACACCATGCTTCAGCTCCAGTCATGCAAAGGAGAAAAAGCTCATCACCACCTATGTGTTTCTACAATGGTTCTAGAAAAAAAAGGAAAAGAGAAGGAAGGAGAGTAAAGGAAAGAGAGGAAGAGGCTGAGTGCAAGAGTCACTGCCCTGGGGCTGGAGCGATAGCATAGCAGGTAGGGCGTTTGCCTTGCACGAAGCCCAACCCAGGTTCAATTCCCAGCATCCCATATGGTCCCCAGAGCACCGCCAGGAGTAATTCCTGAGCGCAGAGCCAGGAGTAACCCCTGTGCATTGCCAAGTGTAACCCAAAAAGGGAAAAAAAAAAAAGTCACTACCCTGTGTCCTAAGAGCAACAGTCATCAGTGATTGGACAACTGACCACAGAAGAGAAGACAAATGGAGGTAGGTGCTTACTCACACATCTGAGCTGCAGGATCACCCTTGCCGGAGCACTCACTCACCAATGAACCTTATACCAGGGGCAGTAACTTTTCTTTTCAAAGTCAGGTCATTTTGGACGGACAGACGGACGGGGGGGCGGTGGGGTGTGTGTTCTTACTTACAATCAGAAATGACGTCAAACCAACAGAAAAACTCAAAACACTTGGAAATTAAACAAGAAATAAACATAAAAAGATTTTTTATAAAACCAAAAGTGATTTTTGATGACGATGAG